TTGTCACGTGGAAATAGGTGTCCTTGAGGTCGAGAGCAGCAAACCAATCTCCGTGCTCTAGTGCAGGCAGAATCACGGTTAAAGTCACCATCTTGAAGCGTAGTTTCTGAATGTGTTTGTTTAACTGACGAAGATCCAATATGGGCCTCCATCCACCGGTCTTTTTCTCAACAAGGAAATAACGGGAATATAATCCTTTCCCTTGAAACTGAGGTGGCACTTCCTCTATTGCTCCTGTGTGGAGGAGATGTTTTAATAAAAACTCATGGTGCGGTGACGAGACTGAATGGGAGTACTCGATATTGGTAGTGGTCCTCCCCTATTGTGAAACAAAGAAATTTCCTGTGAGCAGGATGGATTGTCACGTGGAAATAGGTGTCCTTGAGGTCGAGAGCAGCAAACCAATCTCCGTGCTCTAGTGCAGGCAGAATCACGGTTAAAGTCACCATCTTGAAGCGTAGTTTCTGAATGTGTTTGTTTAACTGACGAAGATCCAATATGGGCCTCCATCCACCGGTCTTTTTCTCAACAAGGAAATAACGGGAATATAATCCTTTCCCTTGAAACTGAGGTGGCACTTCCTCTATTGCTCCTGTGTGGAGGAGATGAGAGATTTCAACCCAAAGCAGATCCTTGTGAGAAGGGTTTCTGAAAAGGAAAAGGGATGGGAGGGTTGTGGGGCGGGGAGAGTCTGGAATGGAATGACATAACGAGGTCGAGAGCAGCAAACCAATCTCCGTGCTCTAGTGCAGGCAGAATCACGGTTAAAGTCACCATCTTGAAGCGTAGTTTCTGAATGTGTTTGTTTAACTGACGAAGATCCAATATGGGCCTCCATCCACCGGTCTTTTTCTCAACAAGGAAATAACGGGAATATAATCCTTTCCCTTGAAACTGAGGTGGCACTTCCTCTATTGCTCCTGTGTGGAGGAGATGAGAGATTTCAACCCAAAGCAGATCCTTGTGAGAAGGGTTTCTGAAAAGGAAAAGGGATGGGAGGGTTGTGGGGCGGGGAGAGTCTGGAATGGAATGACATAACCGGAGCAGATAATTTCCAAGACCCACGCGTCTGTGGTGATCTTTGCCCATTGGTTGTAAAGATCCAGCATGCTGCTTATTGGTGCCTCCATCCACCGGTCTTTTTCTCAACAAGGAAATAACGGGAATATAATCCTTTCCCTTGAAACTGAGGTGGCACTTCCTCTATTGCTCCTGTGTGGAGGAGATGAGAGATTTCAACCCAAAGCAGATCCTTGTGAGAAGGGTTTCTGAAAAGGAAAAGGGATGGGAGGGTTGTGGGGCGGGGAGAGTCTGGAATGGAATGACATAACCGGAGCAGATAATTTCCAAGACCCACGCGTCTGTGGTGATCTTTGCCCATTGGTTGTAAAGATCCAGCATGCTGCTTATTGGTGGATTGCGCTTGCGCCCGGTTACTTTGGTTTTGGCGCCTTATGGGTCTCTCTGAAATTGGCGTGGTTGGTCAAACTGACTGTGTTGTGGTTGCCAGTATTGTCTGGGATGGTAGTAGTTGTTCCTAAAGGGACCGATGTACATCCCCAGTGATTTCAGGGTTGTTCTCGTGTCCTTGTTGGAATGTAGGACTGAGTCCATTTTGTCGCCAAAGAGAGAATCTTTCTCAAATGGTAAGTCCTCTACTTTGGACTGAAGCTCTTTAGGTACTCCTGTGGACTGGAGGAGCGAGGCCCTGAGCATAACAACTGTGATGGCTGTGGTACGGGCTGCAGTGTCTGCCGTGTCCATAGCGATCTGGAGGCTAGTACGAGTGGCAGCATAGCCCTTCTGGACTATTGACTTAAGAAGGGGTCTCTTAGCCTCTGGGAGTACCTCCATAAGATCTGTAAGTTTCGCGTAATTGTCAAAATTATGGTTTGACAAGTGCGCCAGATAATTTGAGATCCGGAAGAGTAAAGTTGAAGAGGTGTATACTTTCCTCCCAAATAAATCGAGCCTCTTTGAATCCTTGTCAGCGGTGGCAGACTTATATTGAGGTGTCTTTGTGTGCTGCTGGGCTGCATGGAGCACCAGATAATTTGAGTGTGACACAAAGTATTTCTTATCAGCCCGCTTGTTAGTGGGGGGAACAAAGGCAGGAGTCTACCAGAGTTCATTAGTTAACAGACTCGTCCAGAGGTATGGCTAATTTAGTAGAGTGAGCAGACTGTAAATTCTTTAAGAGATGATGTTGTTTGTCCTTAACTTCTGTTAGTTGGATCTCCTGAGAGACTGCTACTCTCTTGAAAAGGTCTTGAAACTGCCTCAAGTTGTCTGGTGGTCAGGTGTCTCCAGGGATAACAGCATCATCGGGAGAAGAGGATTGGTCTGTGGGAGAAACCTCGGGAGGTTGGGACTGAGTGGAAGGTTCTTCTTGGAGAAGAGGAGACAGACGAGTGGATGGCAAGGCTTGGCCAGCAGATGGAATAGAAGGAGAATATCTAGAAGAAGAGCAAACCATTATCGAACATGGAGGCAATCCAGGTGAGTAATGACTCGTGCGGTAGTGAGGCGATGGATCTCTGTGATAACGGGAATGGTGGTAATGGTCCCGGTAGTAATGGGAGGAGTGGGATGGGGAGCGAGTATAACGACGATGAGCCATGTAGTCATAGTGCGAAGAAGACCTTCTCGATTGAATAGCTGGAGAAGGGGAGTATGATCTGCGCTGTAATGGTGAAGACGAGGCTGAAAAATAATGGGAGGAACCTCGATGATGTCTAGGAGGCGTCAAAAAGGAAGATGACAGTCTGTCTGGTGAGGAGAACCTCGTAGATCACCATGGTGATCTCCTGCTCGATGGAGAAGGAAGAGATGGAGATGGTGCAGGCGAGAATACAGGTACTGGAGAGGCCGGAGAGGGGCTACGGATGTGATGCGTCTTAGTACATGCTTTGGTAGCTGTGCGTTCCAGTGCCGAGGCCGGTGCCGTATGCGTCGGTGCCGAGGCTGGTGCCGAGTGATGTTTCTTGGCACGGGAATCACATGCCGGGTGCATGGAAAGTGGCGCCGATTGGATTTGAGTCGGTGCCGGCGTGTCCCGAGGCGATGCTATAGGTTGTCGGTCCTGAGAATGTGGGACCGGTGCCGGAGTCTAATCTCGAGCTCATGAAGGTAGAGAATGGTCCCCCACGGAGCTCAGTGCCAGTTGCTCCTACACCGGAGTTATCAAGTCCCCTGAAGAGGACGATGAAGTAGATGCGGCGCGTAACGGTACCGAGGGTGGCCTCGGTGACAGTGAAATAGCCGGTGTCGACGGCTTCGGTGCCGGGAGAGCTTTTCATGCTGGAAAAGTGTCAGTGGCATGACGGGGTGCTGAGGACACCGTTTCAGGCGGTTTCGAAGCAGGACGAGTGCTTAAAACTGCCATATAAGACTTAGATTTCTGAGTAGCTCTGCCCTGAGACGTTAGAGGGAGAGATCTACTTGGCGACGGTCGGAGCCTCTTAGGGGGAGCCCTTGATGGAGAGGAGGCGCTCCGTTTCTGAGGCTGGTGCGCGTCCCAAGTTGGGGAGGCTGGTGCAGGTGGTTGAAGGGCCTTATCAAATAAAATCATTTCACGGTCTCAGCAGTCCCTTGCCGTGAGCTTGGAGCAATGTGCGCATTTTTGCGGAACTTGACTCTCGCTGAGACATCATATACACACTGCATGGCCGTCAGAAACAGGCATGGGGTCTTTGCACGAGGAGCGTTTTTTGAATCCGGGAGAGCCCGGCATCTTGAGGGTTCTAATACCTGCGGCTACGAAGTTTATGCCGCCGGTCCGTGCTTTCTTATTTTGTTCTTTTATTTATCTTTTTCTTTTCTTTTCTCTCTTTTTTTTAAACTATGTACTTGGTAAAAGGGGAAGGGAGAACTTGGAGCTAACAACGAACAGTTTTTTTGTTTTTTTTTTAGTAGTAACAAAGAACTTAATAAGGAACTTCGTATAACACTAAAAACTGAAAGTAAAGCTGAAATTTTTTTCTCACAAAGGTTGGACAAGAAGGAGAGATGATTCTTCCATCTGCAGCCTGAGGCAGTTGAAGAGGAACTGCTTGAGACCGGATCGCGCAGTGCGGGAGAGCACGAACGCCGCGAGACGCCCCTCCCCGTGCATGCGCGTTCTAGCTGACTACGGCTTTAAAGATCTCCATCTTGCAGCGCCAGGGCAAGTCCAGCACCTAATGTGGAGCACCCACAAGAACATCACTAGAAGAAGAACCTCTCTTCATTAGGTAGTTGAACATTGGATTTATGGAAATTTACTAATTGGGTAGAGAATGTATATGTATTATTAGAAGCTTCTGGGGGCAGCTGAGTTAGTCTATACAAGATAAACTTAAAAAACAAAAACTGGTTTGATAGCACTTTATAGACTAACAAAACACGTAGATGGTATCATGAGATTTAGTGGGCACAGCTCACTTCTTCAGATGACTGGAGTTTTGAGTTTAGGAGATACGGACCCAAAATAAATAGGGGAGAAGGGAGTAGGGGGAAGAAAAAAAAAGAGGAGGGGCAGGAAACAAGTTTTTCCCTTCGATTTTTTCATAACATCTGCTCATTTCCCACCTCCCTTCCTTTTTTTTCCTTCCCTCCTCTCCCCTATTTATTTTGGGTCTGCACATCCAAAACTCAAAACTCAACCAGTTTTTGTTTTTTAAGTTTATGTATTATTAGATAGTTGCTAAATGTTTATATATAATAGAGTTGATTAAAAAAAAGATATAGAAATATATGTATGAAAGACTGATTGTGATTTGGAGATATTACCACATAAGGGATAATGTTGTGAGTATAGGAATTTAGAGATGTGTCTCAGAGGCCAGGATTGGAAACATTTCATGGCTGTGTGCAGCACCTCACTATAGAAGCTCTCCAGTTTCTTTTATTAATGTTTTATTTCTTTCTCATTCACTGGTTTGTTATTTAATGAACCCTGAGATCATTACAACAACCAAATATCAATAACTATTTAGATATTTCACAGCTACAAAAATTACCATGTATCTTCCAGACTCGAAATTTTCCATCATCTTCTTCAAATGCATGTTTTCTGATAAGATAGCTTCATATCTTATCTCTGACAACTGGGGAATTGGAGAAAAACTAAATTACTTGTTGAACTTAACAATATTAGCTACAAAATACTGAGTATAATTCTTTATAAGTTTAATTTATGCTTTACTGAAAACATTCATAAAGAACCATGACACTAGTATAATGGACATTTTTCTTTAACACAAGAAACTAATTTTTTCAATGTACAGGCAGTCCCCGACTTACGCGGATCTGACTTACGTCAGATCCGCAGTTACGAACGGGGCTTTTCTCGCCCCGGAGGACAAGGACTGCGGGACCTCGCGGTCCCGCCGCCCATGTACTCCGGGGCGAGAAAAGCTGCTCCACGTCTCCCTGGTCTGCAGACCAGGAAGACACGGAGCAAAGCCGCGGAGGGGCTCGGGCAGCGGGGCAGCCCAGGCGTGCCTGGGTTGCCTCGCTGCCCGAGCCCCCCCCTCCCCCCTGCAGCTTTGCAAAGCCTCGGGGAAGCCGGCAGCGGAGCAGCCCGGGAGACGGTGAGGAGGGACCAGGGAGATGGGGAGCAAAGCCGCGGAGGATCCAGGCGGCGGGACCGCAGTGCGTCTCGGTCCGCTGCCCTGGTCTGCTGGGGTCGGGGGGGGCGCAGCTAGGACCCCCCACCACCCCACCCACCTA